ACCAGCAATTGTCAGTTGATTAACTTTTGTTTCTGAAAGTGAAGTGTTGTATCATTGTTTTAAAAGTGACTTACCAGCAATTGTCAGTTGATTAACTTTTGTTTCTGAAAGTGAAGTGTTGTATCATTGTTTTAAAAGTGACTTACCAGCAATTGTCAGTTGATTAACTTTTGTTTCTGAAAGTGAAGTATTGTAATATTGTTTTAAAAGTGACTTACCGACAATAGCTAGTTGGTTAACCCTTGTTTGCGAAAGAGTATTATATTGTTGTTTAAAAACTGATTTATCAGCAATAACTAGTTAATTAACTCTCATCTCATCTAATGGGAATGTACATTTATCGTCACCTTGTTAGATGAGGAACCAAATTCTCAGAGATGTTTTTGATAACGTCACTTCGAGTACTATAGCACCTTTACTGTGTGGACTCAATAAAATTTGCTTTATTGTATTTCTAAATATATTTTTCGGCATTTACCAAAATTAAATATTATATTTTGTGGTTTGAAAAAATACAAACAAAAATATTACACAATTTTCAACTTAACTGCTCAAATGACAATGTAGATGTTAGAATGGTTTCAAAATTTAAAATAATATCTGTAGTCAATATTTTATACTTCGGGTTTGTTAAGTAACGGAATATCATCGCTTATAATGGCGCTAACACTGAAATGACTATTAATAGAGCATTATCTGAAATTTTTATCACGATATATGTTTCAATGAATGTTTTAATGATAATTTTTTTTTCGGAAAGATAACTTTTATACGATAGATACACTAATAGTTTAAAATATTTACTCCTAATTTTATCACTTACTCTTGCGATAGAATCCTATATTTTGTGACAAAAATTACAAAAGGCTACTTTTGGAACCATTAGAATAAATTTAGAAATGATAAAAAGTATCAATTTATTATCACAATTTCCATTTTAGACACTGATTGAATAAACGGTCCCTTACTGGCATAAGAAGTATCAAATTATTAACAAAATTTCCATTTTAGACAATATTAAATAAATGGTCCCCTAATATTGTCTCGTGAATACAGAAATAATATATTTATGAGAACTTATTAAAGATCAGTAAAATATCCGTATCACTTTTCATTAAAAGGGTAAATTCCAACTCAGTAATCCACATAAACAACCGTGATTTTAATAATACGACGCGTATTGTAATTACAGGATTTTATTTTACAAATTACGTCAGTTACATGAGTCATCAGTTGATGGAACAAAATCTCAGATCAGTGAAACTTAAATTTTCATTTTAATGATTAAGAGATTTTCACGGAACTTTGCCCTTAATGGGATAGGACAAGTTGTTCTATGAGAATTGAATAAGTACCTTCCATTTATAGTTGTCTATGTGTACGAATACCGGGTGAAGGTGCTAATCGGCTTATGTGATATTTTCTTGTTATAAAACATGTAAATTACTAATCAAATAAACGAACATCTGTTTTATTAATTAATTGTATTCTTTAAGTTATTAAGAATTGTCTTATAACCACGAAACTAATAATTTTTCAATATATTCTAGGTTCTTCATGATCATCTGGCATACAGGTTTGAGATTTTAGAAGTCATCGGTAAAGGATCGTTTGGTCAAGTTATTCGGGCTCTTGACCACAAAACCAACCAGCAGGTGGCTGTGAAAATCATCCGGAACAAAAAACGGTAGATTTTTTCAAGAGAAAACTCATTTGATGGAGAAATTTCGTGATTTTTTTTATGCAAAAGAGATGCACTTATTAGTAAAGCTTAAGAAAACGTCACCTTACAGTTTCAACATGTCTGGATGATTTTCCAAACGCTTCTTAGGTGAACTGATACATACTACGTTCTTTTTAAAAGTACTGACTTATGATAATAAGATTAGAGAAAAAAAACACACATTTGCTCTCCTGTTAATAAAAAAACTTTTTATTACAGCCAAAGTTTCACCTTTGCGGTTTCATCAAGGCTTAATAGTACAAGAACTATTTTTTTCTCTAACTTTATTGCAAAAATGTCTAAATCCCTCTAGAATGCACTACAAACTGTGGAAAGACAACAAAATGTTTACTCACGGCACAATGAAGCAAAATATTTTATTTTGTATTTTTGATTTGTTAAATTTTCACAAAAATATAAACACTGAGATCATTTTTCCGCCAGGGGTCCTGTAAACTGGCACAAACCCACATGTATATATATATAGAGAGAGAGAGTGTGTTGGTTCACATGCTGTAGTTTTTCCCAATAATTTTATTTATTTATTACTAAAAGAAGCAGATTTTTAAATAAAATAAAAACTTTTGTTTCAGATTTCATCAGCAAGCTGTCGTGGAAGTGAAGATATTAGAACTTCTAGCCAAAAAGGACAAAGACGGTTACCACAATGTGATTCATATAATTGACCACTTTTATTTCAGAAACCATCTATGTATCACATTTGAATTAATGGGGTACGTATTTAATTTGTTACAAAAATAGTGATGATTTTTGTCATGAATACTAAGACATAATAGCAATTTTTTTTTTTAATTTCAAGTTTGTTTCTTGTTTTTTTTTCAAATCCAACTTCAGCTCGCAGTTTCGGTTACCGTTTCTGGAAAGAGAAATACCTCGCCTTAACTTTACAACACACACATATATCATTCATCATATGATTTCTCGTCAATATCTGATTTTTATATTCTTGTAATTATAACAATTCGTGCTTTGAGGTCACTTTAATAAGACCAAACACTCAACTATGGTTTCTTGAAAACAAATTGGACCAATTTAGGGGACAATATAGAGTAAACAGCTTACTTTGTCTTTATTAAACTTATTTGATGGTATCTCACGGACACACGGAGATAAAGTTTAACTTGTAATAATTATTTCGCCAAAAAGTTGTCCATCATCGCAAAAATCGGTCCCCCAGAGGTACAGCGGTAAGTTTATGGACTTACAACGCTAAAATTCGGGGTCCGTTTCCCAAATTTAGACACAGCAGATAGTCAAATGTGGCTTTACTCTAAAAGAACAAACACAAAAAGGGAGGATTTATTTTTGGATTTCGCGCATAGCAACACGAGGGCTATCTGCGCTAGCCGTCTCTACTTTAGCAGTGAAAGACTAGAGGGAAGGCAACAGTCATCACTATCCACCGCCAACTCTTGGGCTACTCTTTTACCAATGAATAATGGGATTAACTGTCACGTTAAAACGCCCCCCCCCCCACGGCTCAAGCGGCGAGCATGTTTGGTGGGAACGAGGATTCGAACCCGCGACACACAGATTGTGAGTCGAGTGCCCTGACCATTCCAGACCCCAAAATTCAGAAAGACGGTAATCTCTGCTGCATCTATAAATATGGGTAATAGAAAAAAATAGTTTAGTAGTTTCGCTACTTTGTAAAAATTAATGATCTTTATATTTATTGAAAGATATGCTAGAAACATCGTTATAAGTTATTCATATATATATATATATATATATATATAGTGGGGGGTTACAAACTTTGTAATCTCGACTGATGAGGGTTTACACAAATTGACAATGAAGTTGGAAGTTTCGTCTTTGCGGCTTCTAGACCTGAAAAAACCACAAAGGCGAAATATTGGTTAAAATATAACTTACTTTATAATTACCTAGAGTCATTTTTTCCTAACTTTATTATCAAAATATATTAGGGTCGGGCGTGGCTTAGTGGCTAGAATGCAAAGTTGCGGATGGGGAGATCAGTAAAGTTTTCGAACCACCATACTGCCGGTAAACATCCCGGCTTTTCAGTTGTGGGCGCATTATTAAAATGACAGTCCCGTTATTCGGTTCCTGAAACTGGATTTGGCTATTCTTGGCGGCTGGTACTGTTTAACGGTTGTTTGTTTTTTTTCTACTGCTCAAAATTAGAAACGATAATACCCGAAACATTTTGTTTTATTCAAATTTTATCGAGTCTCCATTTGTGTTGTCAATAATGAATCTCAACGAACTGATAAAAAGAAAACTATTGAATTGTTTACACATTAACGCGATTACACGTATATTTTAAAGCTTTTATAACATTTTAGTGCTCTGACTTTGCAGCCTCAACCTGTATGAATTGATAAAGAAAAATAACTACCAAGGCTTAAGCCTAGGGCTTATCCGAAGACTGACTTACTCACTAGTCCAGTGTCTGTGTCTCCTATACAGAGAGAATGTCATTCACTGTGACTTAAAACCGGTAGGTACAATTATGTTTTGCATGTTCAGGCTTCCATTTTGTGTTTATTTCCTGTACCTCATATACTTTTTAAGTTTATATTTTGTTACCTTATATCTTCAACAGGATTGGAGTAATTATTTTTCCTATTTTTGACAAGATAGTGGTAATTATTTCTCTAGTTTTCAACAGGATTGGAGTAATTATTTCTCCAGTTTTCAACAGGATTGTGTGTGTATGTGTGTGCATGCAATTTCTCTGAAAGGGAACCGAAAGCCACCTGGAGGAGTTACCTGTTTTAACCATTCGCACCACAATACATTAGTGTGTTGTCAGTCAGTATACACTAAAATGACGTCACATAAAGGAAGCTTAACGTTACAATTTGTACTGTCGTGACGTCAGTAAAACGTGCGCATGCCTTGAATCATGAGAAGAATTATGCACTCTGTAGGCTACAACACAGTATGACATATGAACTTGAAAAGCAAGAAATAAAAATATTTATTAATCTTAATTTTGATTATATTTACTCTTGAAACAGAATCCTTTCGAGGACCCTGCGGAAGTACGTTAAGTTATTTGCTTATTTCTAACAGACAGTGATAATTATTTGTCTATTTTCAACAGTATGTGATAGGGAAATTATCCATATTTTATTCATTGACTTGCAATAATTTATTTTTTTATGTGCTACACTGAAGTTCACCAGAGGTCTCTTCACGTGGCCTCACAACATTTTTTTTTCTGGAAATTTGTAGAGAGTACATCGTGTATGATCAAACTAGAATCATTGGTTAATCTATCTACATGTTATAAAGTGATTTTGTCAAACTCCCATCAACAAATTGTTTTTGAAAAGGTTTATTATTAGGTACATGCATATAAAACAAAAAATGGTGCCTATGTGGACGACATGTTTTCTAGTCGTTCTCTTTTGTCATGAAACATCCGTTTTTGTCTTTTTAATTAATGACAGGAAAATATCTTGCTCAAACAACGGGGAAGTAGTTCCATAAAGGTGATTGACTTTGGAAGTTCCTGTTTTATCCAACAGAGGGTGTACACCTACATACAATCAAGGTTTTACAGGGCTCCTGAGGTAGGTTTATGGAATCGGTAATGTTAACTTATGTCTCACTTAAGGTTTGATTTTGTAAATTATGTTGTACGAATTAGCCTTCTAATTAGCTCTTGACTTCCTTCCTGGAAAAATAATTTATATAATTAAGTTTAGATACGACTTGAATGGGTAACAAAGAAAACTTTATTACAAGTTTAACAGTGACAAATGTACAATGTTGCGACAAGGTTTTGTCATGCTCAGTTGCAAGTAGTTTAGTTAGACATAAGAATATATACATATAGTAGGGTACAAGGAGGTCACGTCGCCGGATATTGCTTAACGGCTTAGAAAACGTATCTTGTCGCCCCAGGATGTTAGTTTAGAGAGGGATTTGTTGTTCAATTAAGTTAGCTACTTTAATATTTGCATTTGTTAATGTTTGGTTCTTCATAATGTTTTGATAGATACACTGTTGTTATTGTTTGAGTTGTAATGGTTGTAACCATGGGAGGATGTTTTTATTATGTTTGATGAAACGGAATGCAGTTGATAGAACCAGATAATCTATATGAAACGTTTATATTTAAAAGGATTTTTTGTATATAGAAGCAAAATAACTAATGTGTTATAGTTAAATATTTACCCCCCCCCCCAAACAAAAAAAAAAGAAGTTGAGATTCACGAAGAAACTTGTTCGTACTTAATACCATGTTCTACCACGAAACAGATTGTTGTGACATTTTTATATTCTGGTGAGACAACGTTACTGGGGCTATATTTTCGTTTTGTTTATTTATCTGAAACGTTTTATGACAACCAAAGATAATTTGAATGAAGCACTACTAATAAATTCAGGTGATTCTGGGAGTACCCTATGGACCAGCTATTGACATGTGGAGTCTTGGATGTATTCTGGCTGAGCTTTATACCGGATTTCCGCTGTTTCCTGGTGAAAACGAGGCTGACCAGCTGGCATGCATTATGGAAGTTATTGGACCACCTCCAGCTGAAGTCTTAGAGGTAGCATCAAGACGTCGTTTGTTCTTTGGTGAGATTAATTACAGAATATGTTGATGCTGTTCCAAAAGTCATCTTGTAACGTGTTTTAACCTTCCAATTACCAACTTTAGTGGTAGTGATTACAAACATTGTCGATCCTGTTTCAACACACGCGCGCGCGCGCAATTGGAGTCCCTAGACTAGAATCAAACATTACTGTTACTTTCTAGACTGTATAAGATATAAGGGACAATGTGTTCACGAACAGATTGGCTTTCTAGTCAAAACTTAATTAAACTAAATGCAACATAAATTTATTATAGCGTTGGTTTCATATCAGCTCGTTGAAACTCAATCCAATGTTTCGTTCCAGATTCCAAAGGAAATCCCCGAAATATAACTAACAGCAAGGGTAAAAAACGTAGACCAGGAACCAAAACGCTACCCTTGGTACTTGGGTGCTACGAAGAACAGTTTGTGAATTTCCTCACTAGGTGTCTCAAGTAAGTTAGCTGTTAACGCATAACTGTTAGCATTATTTATCGTTTTCGTAAAACACGTGCTATTTTGCATAATTAAATAAAAATAGGGGTGATATTACATTATAGCAAGACTGGTAGTAATTTTACTCACGTTCTTGTTTACTGGCCCAGTAAAAAGAGCATGTTACAGCATTTCAACTACTCTTTTACTTGTTGTACGTTGCAACAAAATTCGGGTCCAGCGGTTCTTACATTTACGTCAATCATGTAAGTTAGGCCTAGATTCGAAGACTGAAACAGTTGGAAAAGAAAACTCTTCATTTTTCTTTCATACAAAACTTACTTGTACATATTTTACCCGAATTCTTCATCTTATAAAAAACACATTTTTTCGTTTCTTTTTATGTATTCTCTCTCTCTCTAAAATTGCAATTTGAAATTGTTATTTTCCTCTGTTCATCGCCGCATTCCTCTAGTCTATTTCTAAGAACTTAAGAGATGAAAACAAAGATGAAGGTAACAATGTGTTAAATATACTATAAACTGCCATATCTAGTGCCGACGAGAACTTTGCTTCAATGCTAGGGCTATGCTGTGCCAGCGTGGATGTTAGATACAGTAAGATTCAATATCTCATAAACAGCTACTATACATAGCGTGTCAGCTAAGAGAGTAAGTTGTATCCTAGTCAGCTTGATGAATTCTGTGTAAAACAACTATAAAACTCACACGCAGTATCTTCAAGGATAAGGAACCAGGCATTGTGTTTGAGGGGAATGAATTTTATGAACCCTTATTTTCTAAAATGCTATTTACGGTAGATACATACGACGGGTTCCGTTCCTCCCCATTGACTTAAATTCACACCATTACAGTTCTTCATGCAACTGTTTGTTTGTTGGTTTTGAATTTCGCGCAAAGCTACACGAGGGCTATCTGCGCTAGCCGTCCCTAATTTAGCAGAGTAAGACTAGAGGGAAGGCAGCTAGCCGTCACCAACTCTTGGGCTACTCTTTTACCAACGAATAGTGGGATTGACCGTCACATTATAGCGCCCCCACGGCTGAAAGGGCGAGCATGTTTGGTGTGACGGAGATTCGAACCCGCGACCCTCAGATTGCGAGTCGAGCGCCCTAACCACCTGGCCATGCCGGGCCCTCATGCAATTGATGATATAAATACTATCTAAACCACTACTGTGTCTGTCGTATCCCAGCCGGACTGATGAATCCATTAGTCGCACTGTTTATATATGATCACGGTTTGCGCGAGGATTTCTAATAGTGTAGGCTTAACAAAATACGTAGGTGCCTTGAAAAAAATGACCGATGTTACACGGATAAACTTGAACCAAGCTCGTTAAAAATTTAGAAATACATTGTCCAGTTAGTTCTCTCGCACGTATGGTGCTTCCATTATTATTGAAAATTCGATTTCGTAACCCAACAAGTACCGAGTTTTAATAAACGAACCCTATTCCTACACTCGTTCTAACTAATTTTATATTTCTGATTTACCCTGCTATATTGATCGCATCTACATTGTAGTTGGAACCCGGAGTTCAGGATTACCCCAGAAGAGGCTCTAAACCACAAATGGATAGCTGAATGCAAAGCTGGCCGTCGTGAGAGAAGCGGATCTAAGATGTCACAAGTTTCAACATCAACAAAAGAGAGCGACCCGGGTATTTAATCTACTCAGTTATAAAATCATCTTTCCCTGTCGTTATTGTATCCTTTGTCTGTTTTTTTGATGAACTTGGAAAATTGTATTTAGGCATACATTTCAATATCAATTAAGCAGTGAAAATTCTAGGCTCAGCCCAATTTTAAAAAGGTGCAACAGAAATAGGAACTAGAACTCGGGTACTTGTAGATTATTTAATGGTTGCGAAAAATAATTGAGAAACGATTAAATTTATATAAATAAAATCATTTCACGTATCTTAAGCCTCGTATTTATTTTTTACTTTATTTACATAAAAGTATTCTGATTTTTCCTACATACGTATTTTTTTTATCGTATTTATTACTAGTAGTTCTTTTATTTATAATCAGTCACGTTTCCTTGTGTTTTAGCTTACTTTCTTCCTTAAATAATGCAAGTTTCCAATTGTTACTTTTCTCTCTGCTAAACAACCCCTTCCTTTTGACTTCTCTTTCTTTGTTTTATTATCAGTCTCGCTCGCTTTATCAAATCAAGTTTTCACTATTCTGTTATTGTGCAGAAAGCCGAAAGTCATCAACTTTGAAAGTTCCTAAGTGCATAAGCATTTCTACTCGGGGAAGATCTATTGAAAGAAGAACAAGTAGTAAAACCTCCTCGGAAGAATGTTGTAAGATCCGTTGTTCTTACTTTATCCATTTAGATTTATTCTAAGTAAATTTCATGCTAGACGCATTTTGAAAGTGTTTTGTTGTTGTTTAAGGGTAAAGCTGCACAATAAGCTATCTGCGCTGAGCCTACCGTAAAGATTGAACCCCGAATTTTAGCGTTATAAAACTTCGAGCTTACCGTTGAGAGTCTCCCGGTGGGACAGCGGTGAGTCTATAGACTTAGAACCCTAAAATACAGGGTTGGATTCCCCGTGGTAGACACAGGAGATAGCCCAATATGGCTTTGCTCTAAAAAAAAACTTATCGCTGGGAGACTAGGGGAATATAAATTAATTTTTAATTTTTGTTAAAAGTAACATTCAGTTTTTCCTATGAACATTACATTTCCACATAATTTAAAAACAGATACACGAACAAGACAAATTATTTAGGTACTAATAAATACTTTCATATCTTCATTTTATGTAGTACTTCTACGACCAGTAGAAAGCGTGGACAGCAACAGTGGAGAAACACAGTATCTACTAGAAGATTCAGGAACCTTCTTACCGCCTATCCTTTGATGCGAGATGTATAACGTGGAGTTATCAGTGTTTGTGGATCCTTCGGCAGAGGATGACTACAAAATATCCAGATGTTGCAAAAAAATTGTTGGGTGTTGTTTTTTTTCGTGTGGACAAACTGTGAACAACAATTCCTAAATAAGATATTTGATCATCAATGTAATCTTATTAACAAACATATCCTTTTTTTTAAAAACTAGGTTGGAGAAGGTAAACACGTCAAACAAATCAAATTTGCTAGCGTTCAACAACATTTGTTCTGTTCGTATTCATTTAGTTATTTCAACTGTGTTAGTAAACATCAAAAATATTACCTTACGTAACTGAAAACTTAAATCTATGAACATTATTTTTCCGAGTTTAAGTTTCACCATTAACTTCAAATAATAACAATATGTGTAGTTTAGTTTGTATTAGCAAAGAAACATGCCGTTTCATTGATCAACAACAACAAAAAAAAAGGCTATTTATTGTCATATGTCAACAAGTATTACGTTTCGTTGTTGTGAAGCTTACACTATTTGACGAACTTTGTGTTGATAGCATTTCATCAAAGAAACAATATTTTTGATTCATTACTTCAAGAACTGCAGTAGTTAACGTTCTTTTCTTAACTTTACGATTCCCTTAGTTATTCTAGGACTGGCATTGTATAATTTTTTTTAAACCAATACGATAGCTGCTTAAGAAAGAGAACAATACGAATTATTACAAAACGTATTTTTAAAACACCTTGCTGTCAGAAGTCAATATATTCAATCTGACTGACGTTACTATAAACCTGGTGTTAGCTCCTAGCATACACAAATTACCAAAATGGCACATGTTAACATGTTCGAAACACTTTACGCTGATCGATACATTTGTGTACGTTTTATAACTACCCGATTGAAGATATCCACATTATTGAAATATCTCACCAATAGATGGCGATGTTTTTAAAACGCATTGTGTCCTTGAATCATCTGGTCGATACGACGATCCACTTATTGTAAATACCTGACTGGAGATAGTTACATTATTGAAACATTTGATTAAATATATATTCGCTTTGTTGAAATACTTGGTTAACAGATTGAGTGACAGATATATTTTAAAAATATCTAATGAGCTAACAGATACAATGATTCACGTTATTGAAATATGTTGCTGACAGTATTCTTTTTGTGGATTATCACCCTGCTCATTAGTCATATTTTGCAACTATCGATATTCATGTTATGGACAGTATGTTAAATTGAATATGTTTTCACCATACAGTCAAGTGTTTTAAGGATGAAGACTTCCGTCGGTTTCGTAATTTTAAGAAGATGGAGTACAACAATGAAGTAGAAAAACGTGGGCATCGATAGTTGAAGAGTAATGTGTACAACTAATACATCAGGTTCGAGAACGTGGACATTGGTCAACCAATTATTTGAAGACTAATGTATACAACTAATAAATCAGGTTCGAGAACGTGGACATTGGTCAACCAATTATTTGAAGACTAATGTATACAACTAACAAATCGGTTGAAGATTGTAGACAGCTGTCAGTCAATGAATTGAATATATTTTGATAAACTATGGGTAAAAAAATGCAGTATTTAAACAGTTAACATTTTAAACTTGATCATCAAACCCAACTACTCGAAGATCTCGCCATGCCAAACTTCACCACATTATGTAGTGTTCGGCAACGACCCAGGTATTCCACGCGTTTAGAACTTTGTCAATATCTGGCTAACGTACAAACATAAAACAAGTTTTAAAACCATAAATTTGAACAAAGTCAAAAAAAGTTTCAAGACACTTATAATTTATGTAATAACGTAGACAATTACCTATGGCAAGGTTAATAATATTTTTCGACAAGATTCTTGTACATGTTTGTTCCATTTCTTTTCTGGTCCTGTGCGTTTGTGTAGTCATACCTCAAATATCATCAAATAACTTTTAACAATCTAAGTAAGAGCTACTAGGGACCTCTAGGGCCCTGGACTTCTGTAACAACACCTATAGATTATCGATGGAACTTCCACTAATGGCGTTGCTGATGTGAACTAGATGTGCATTTTAAATTTATTTTAAGGCTGCTTGAAGAAATACAAAAAAAAAAAAAGAAGGGAAAATAAGCCGCCTCCTGCTGTTTCCTTCACTATGCACGATATTATTTTTGTATATCCCGCACATAAAGTTAGTAATTAATTGATTACTGTTCTGTAAATATGATCTTAATAGAACAAACTTTCTTATTGCTGAATTGTAAATTGTACAGCGCTTTTAAAATTGTGGTGCCAGTTTGAAATCAGATGTGGTACACGTGTATTTTTTACGTATCCCTAGCTTGTTTTTGTACTGCTGTCTTGTGGCAGCGCAGCTTAGACATTAGTCAATGCTGTAAATTGAGTTATTTATTATGTACAAGTCAGTATACCTCGGAGTGTTTTTGAAATTGCCAAGCTTATTCTACAAAGTGACTTAGGTATTCCTCATATGATACAAATCAATTATGTAGCACAGTGATGTGTATTCGTTTTCATTTGAATACTTTCAAAATATATAACACAGTTATTTAAAAGATCTCTACAAATTGATAGGAAAAATTACCTGACGAGTTTACTTCGCGAAATCACTCCAGTTGTTGTAATAATTAGAAGTGAATGCCATGCAGCACCGCAAGTAAATATATTTTTAAAAAAATCAAAATTGTATAATTAATATAGCGTAAAATACGATGTACAACTGTTTAGCTTTTGAAAGAAATTGGAAGTTTAGGTAACTTAACCCTTTAGGCGCACCTACCACCTCATGATGGGGTTTAAATTCCCGCTAGAAATGCGAATCGAGCGCACGAAATCAATAGACAAAGTCTAACCATGACGATCTCAACCCCGATTCGTAGCCAACATCGCGTATGTTGCTATTCAAAAACACCGGTAATATTTGCAGTTGAAAATTGTTTAATTTCTTTTTTAATGAGAAAACAAACTCAATATCGCTCCAGTGTTTTCACACTTGAAGAAACAATGATTCTGGCTCTGAACCCGAATTATCTTACGATGATTTTGAGCGTGATATGACTGAAAAAAAGTGCGCGCCTACAGGGTTAAGAAGACGCGAATGTAGGATAAGTGTGAATAAAAAATTAAAACCAACTAGATTTTCAGCTCTTCACGACACGAGCCAATCATCGGTTGTTGTTACAAAGTTTTTTGGATTAGCCAATTTCTTTGAAAATACTGCGAAACTTGTGTCCCTGAACTAACGCTACTAAATATTTATTTCTCACATCAATGAATAATGTATTAATGTCAGAAGATGAATTTTCATACGTTGGAAACAATACGTTTTTCTCTAAGATATTGGTAAATTTGTTGCTGTCTCATACTCTATATTGTTAGTGTTATGTACTCATGATGTATGCTGTCCGTTAAAAATAAAATGATTTATCTGTTTCGTGGAGGATTTTTTTTTGCAATTTATTTTGTACTTGTAGGAATTTCATATGGAAATATTTTTCGTGATTAAAAAACAACATTACGAATATTCTAACTACGAAATTTACGTACAAATTAAGAAGTACGAGCTTATTGAAGAAACAGATTATACAGTCAGTTGTTTTTCATTAACCCGAGTGGTTTAACACCATGCAAAGCAAGAGTCTTACTTGTTTCACAAAAATGAAACAAGTTTCTTAATAATAAGTAATTTTTGATTAGTTGAGAACCGAAGTTTCGAAATATTTCTGCTCTCACCTACCAACTAGGTTGATAATAGAAAAATATTATCCAACAATTTTATATCTAAATAACGTTTAGGAAACGAATTTTCCATTGATCTTGCCGATTAACATTATTTTAGAGCAAAGCCACATTGAGCTATATTCGCCATGGGGAATCTAACCCCGGATTTTAGCGTCCGTAGACTTACTGCTGTCCCACTGGGGGACCGCTAGGCTAATGAGAGCCGATACGACTAGCGACTGATCAAAAATGTGTCCAATATGAGGAAATATTTCATATTTAGTGAGACAAGCAAGTACTTTAATAGTTGTTAAATCAAACCATTCGTTTAATAAACTCGGTATTTGGCGATAATATTTCAATTTTTTTTAATATTTTTATACAGAACATAAAGTATAAATGCAATTGCTTTTGTTGATCCATTATGTTTCTTAACTCAGATCCATCATTAGTATATCATAACACAGATTAAAGACAATCCAACCCAAATAACCTTCACAACACAAAGAAATTGTTTTCCTGGTAAATTAATAAATATTTTTTATATAAAAGTAAAAAATGTATCTCTAACAGAATGAATCCTTGCAGTAAAAACGACCAAAGAACTCTGCTGAACTTGTAAGGAGCAGTTGCTAAATATGGTAAGCACAAGTACCTCTGTAAACTTCACTATTTACTAGGAATATAAAACTGCATACAAAATGCTGTTCTGGAACACCTGAACAAGAAAAGTCATGGGTAAAAACATTTGGATCTATATCTGTTACCATCTTGGTTGAGAATATCCATATTCCACAGATAAATTATTGATAGTGATAGGTGTCCAGAAACGGACAAATCAGATAGGAGAGGTTATATCGAACTCAAGTCTTATAACAAAAAAACTACAGGTAATAGCCCAAACATCATACATTCAGAACCAAGAATGAGATCAAACTAATACTGAATAAAACCAGAAGGAAACTTGACAATTCCTCACTTTACAGGAAGAAACATGGTGATAACTTAATAACCTTGGAAAGAAACTAAACAGTATGTTAGATTTTAATGAAAACCAGATTGGAAAGGACACAAAGACTTAGATTAAGAAATTAAAAGTAGAGCCTCAGAAGCAAAAACTGATATATATGTTAGCATGCATGAAAGAACCACCACCAGATGACTCATCCCAAGATTCTATGTTAAAAAAAGATTGATCCAATAACAGAATTCCTTGTAACTAGGAAGTGGTAAGCAGCACATGTGACAGCAATCAAGTGAAAAGATGAAACTAGGCAACACAACTGAAAGACCACAGAACAAAAAAAGTAAGTCATGAAAAAAGGGGGCAAGGAATT